CAAGAGGCGTACGAACAGGAGACCCTGGTTGATCGAAGGATCATCAACTTTTCATTATTGTTTACATTAAGCATCCGGTCGTACAGAATGGAATAAGCTTTGAACCATTTTTCATGACATGGATTTTGCTAGCAATCCGTGAATGCCTGGTGCCGACTCAGGCTCCATGGAGGTCTCCAAATCTTTGGACTTATCTGACTGAGCTGGGCCCTAAGCGAAGGCATGTGATCGAAATTAAGGCTTCCATCCCCCAACAGATCAGGAGGATCCAACGTTGGTGAAACCTGGCACTCTGCTGCATCTACATCAAGCCTCCAAACATCCCTATTTTTGTCCCTTTCGACGTTGGTATTGTGGTCAGGTCAAAACATGTCGGTTGGATGCTTGGAATCAGCCGTCGCATGTAGGCTCTTGCGAGGAATGGTGGAAAATTTTCATATCGAGAGAACGATTGCAACATAAGTTTCTCTATATCATCCTGTGAAACATTTCGAACCATTCCATTATACCATTCTCCATACCATCCACGCTTGTTTCCCCACACCATCCTCTGAAACCTGAGTCCACATTCGACAATATCCCAAACAATATCGGATGTACGACGTGTGAAATGGGTGGGGGAAAATTAAGCACGCGCAACGAGGATGTACAACCGTATCATATCCTCCTGCATTCTTGCATACTGCTTCTTTGGTTCACACACCCTCTGTGACTTAATATATCCGCTTCTGTGACTCAAACTTCTGGTGAAGTCATGCTGATTCCACTAACCAGCGCCTTCAGAAAGCTGCACTTCGCGCATATGTGGAAAACATCCGAATACATGTGTGCGGAGCAAATAAGTGCACCTAAAATAGCGCACGAACAACCATGAAACTACACGATGAAAAGAGGGTGCTGAAAGCGTGTTAGTATAGTGAAAACAGTCTTTTGATTTTCAAAATCTGTCAGACATTGTTATGTTTCATTTCGAAAAGCCTGTAAGTCCAATATGAGCGTTAAAGCGGCGATTTCCTCCATGCCTTTTACGGCGCGTTAGGTAGGCTAAGGCGCCATCCTATTGACTACCACTTTCAGCGCATTCAGAGAACCTAAGGTTGGCGTTGCATATGAAAAACTGCGAATGCTTCTCCCATATTTTTTTGGACATCCCAAACCAGGACGTTCTTTTAGGTCTATTTTCTAGAGCGTTTATATTGTTGTAAAATTTTCCTGCCTAACTTTTGTAATCAGAACTGTCTTCCAACAAAAGTATGCGTACAGCACGGTTTCAACTACCCCTGATCATATTTGCCGCTTGATATTAGTTCAAAAGAAGGGCTGTACTTTCCTCCATTTGGGGGGGGGGGGTCAAGCCCTCCCCAGCTTTGGGAAGAAAGTGGGCAGAATCCGGGATTTTCCTGAAGTTCTTGTCTCCAAAAGGGACGTCTCTTATGTTCAAAGAATCCCTATTTGCGAAATTTTGGGCTACAACAGGACCCCTTGCAAAGTCGCAACCTTCAATGAGGGCACCCTCGGCCCAAGGACTATCCAAGCACCTTCAATGGCGTCGCCAAATTTGCCCAGGAGGGGCCAAATCGGGTCGCAGGTGGTCCTTCCAGTTAAGGTCTCCTCTTCGTCGTTACGTCTTTTTGACGGATGTCTTTCTCTGGGAGTCTTAATAACCAAACAATCCTCGACTAAGATCCAGACGTCTTACGACGACCTCTAGTCGAATACATATCCAGTAGAAAAAGGGCCTGTATTTTTCATTCGGGAGAACTATTTTGGCCTCAGGATACTATTTTGGTGACTCGGGGCCGTTTCTACGCTTTAGAAGCCTACGGGTGTCCTAAACTACAAAAAAGTAGTGAAGGGCCCGCGACCTCGACCGAGGGGTGTTACGGCTCCGCTCTCCATTACGCGCCTTTAAGTTTGCGTCGTACTCTTTCATCTAGCCTCTGCGCCAGATTTGGACGGAGCAGACAGGAGCCACAGCACATCAGTCGTCAAGTTTCCTTAACCGGCGTCCTAGCCTGAACCTCTTAGCCTCTTTACTATACACATCGACAGCCCAGACATCCGCATCCGCACCCGCACCTGTACACGTACACGCACCCGCACACAAGCACACGCGCGCGCACCCGCACCCACACGCGCATGCACACGCACCCACACGCATGCGCACACCACACGTAAACACGCACACATGCACACGCACACGCACATGCAGCACACCCTCCTCGTGACCAATTAGAGACGTCAAATGGCGTTTGCATGTGCACTACTGACAACAGAGGTCATTGGCCTTGGATGACCTCATATGACCTTGCACCTCGTCACGTGACTTGTTGTGACCTCATTTATCATGCGAATAATCTGACAACATGCTTTCAGCGTAGTATTCGAGTTCTGCGCCCAAAATTGCCTATTTAAACTGCCTATTTTGAGCTAAGCACGCGTGCTGCAGAGGGCACCCATCAAGATAGGTGGTAATCTGGGCCAAGGTCGTGCGCTTAGTGGTTATGTTATGGTTGTGCATTAAGTAAGCGCGCTTTTCCTCGTATACGAACTCCACAGGCACACAATAATACGAACGAATTTGCATCCTTTACATATTAGCAAAAATAGCAAAAATTGACAAATAGTAAAAATTGATCTGACCTCGGGTGTCTGACCACATGCATTTTGAAAAAACGCAAAATTTGCAAAACTGTACGAATTATCACGTTTAACACTATAGCAGATCTTGGCAATGGCGAATGCCCAAAAAAGTTACGCGTGGTCACAGTTTTTAAGTTGTCCTCTTTGATATGATCTAGGTCAACGGCATTGGCGGATAAATACTCAGTATTTGTACAAACTATGCCAAATTGATATATAAAAATGTCCTGCCAATTTGGTGTTACTGCGAGCGTTGATTTTTAAATTGCGCTATAAAAACCGTAGGGAAAAGTAAACTCCCTCTCCTCGACCACGGTTTAAGACGCATTACCAACGTAGGCCTATTAGCAACATAAAGGTGCTACCAATTGCAAAATCTCTTTAAGGCCAGTCTACTACCGGTTTTTCTCTTCTTTCTCGAAGCACTCTCTTTATTTGGAAGAGGTAAAGTGTCGATGCGACCCGCTCTTTCAGTGCGCATCATGAAAAAACGCCGCATCGGGGCGAAGGTTAGTCATGCTACGACATAATTATCTGGTGTTTGATGGACAGTGTTAATAAGTTGTTAAACCTAATCCAGCACTTTCTATTTTTATAATTCAAGACTAAATTAGGCCTTTTCCAGGAGCCTCATCAACAGCGCAATGACTACTTCTCTGTGACCACGAATATCCAAT